ATGATATTTTCAATAGCTCAACATGTCTGATTATAAGTTAGATCCGTTAATTTTACCCTTGAGACTTGGTGTGTTTGGGTATATGTCGCTGGTTCGATTTGCTGTAAACTGCAATTTCTCGCCAGGGAGTTCGATAGTACTCAGAATTATTAGATTACGAATACCAATACTTCCAGTTTTAAAGAGACGGCAGAGTACGTAGAAGAACTGATCTCCCCAAATGCAGTCCTACATATTTTGTAAAAAAAATATCATGAACTATAACATTTGGGCATAACGACAAAAGTTCAACTGTATAAAAGCACAGCTAGTTGAGCATCTACAGCTCATACCTCAACACGCTTCAGAGATACATTTAATCTTCAAAATACAACAAACATCCCAGGGAACCAGATAATTGCCTAAAAAAAATATTTGAGAAGGATTAAGGCTCATAATAATCTTTACTTTGCTTCCCTCTTCATTATAGTCAAAAGTTCTGGAGTACCATAATTATCCTAAAATAGAAACATTTAAGCTGTTATCTGGTGCTGAGGAACTGCAACTTGTGAATGAATCATGACGTAGGGGAGGTCGGTCTTGGCGCCCCGCACAGCATCCACGTGCTAAGGTGTTGGCCTGCGCGCGCACACATTTTCCCAGCCACCAGCTCTTACCATTTATGGTGTTCCGGACGCTGTTGAAGCTTATGATTGGCATGTATATTCTTGCTTAATTTTATTTCTTCTAGTGTCTTGAGATGCAAGATAATATTTCCAGAAAACTAGAAATTTACCCTGGAAGGTTACAATCAAATTAGACTGGAGGTGGACAGGTGGTGGTTACAACCTTATCTTTCTCCACCACCACCTTCTGCTCCATCCTCCCCTCAGATAACCACGGTATACACGCTGCTATCAATGTCCGCTCCTCACACGATCAATTACACACATTATTACTTTGATATTTTAACTGATTCCATAAGAATACAAAATTTATCTAAGAGTGCATACATAATAACTCTCTCTTAGCCCTTGTTTCTCTCTGCCTGTACGTACCCTTTCCTCTTGTCAATTCTTATTTCACTAGCCAAGTTATAATGATTAGATAAACCTAACTATTTTGAGAGAGAGAATTGCCGTGATGTTTAATCCCTCCATTAGATGATTGCGACCAGTGGCTCACAGAGACTTCCAGGTAAGCCCCAGGGTGAGTTTTTTTTTTGTAGCAATACCCAATGTAATGTAATATTTATGTAGTAATGGATTTAAAACCGATGCAGGATTTTCGAGTATAAGTTGCTAAAAACTCCTAGATCATTTCAGTATATTGGAACAAAAGGATCCTGTATTCCTGAAGCAAAGATGAGGAATCACATATCCTAAATGAGTAAACAAATGATGATTTACCAGTGGCGGTGGAGTGATGACCTTCTCCCTGGTAATGACCGAGAAACCAGCCTCAGTCAGTGTCATAAACATCGCATACCCTAACCCCTGTACAGTATTTAACTCTCAGCCATAACACCTTGCTGTTTGGTATTTCGACTAAATGTGGAGAGAACATCAATATTCCAATTGGATGGACTTGTAATATATTTTATGTGTCAGTGAATACAAAACAAATCTTATATTAGTCATTAAATATAACGAAGTAACATGAATGGTTCACTTATCGTTACTTGTGACTACCACTGATAAAATGCCTTGCAAAAGACGACAATAATAAACCGATGGGTAATGAGGAAGGTACAGCCAAGCTTAATTAGAACTAGAATTCCACTAAAAGCTTTTCAGTATGTCTATGCCAGTTTCAGTTGGTTCAGGTGCAACCAAAATATAAAAGCTTTTTCCCAAACTGTTACCTAATCCAAATGAAAAATTAATATACATATGTGCATCCGTTTTTAGGAAATAAAAAATAATTACAAACATTCACTCAAAGCTCGATATAAACGCAACCAATTAATTGATCTTCCAAATTCCAACTTCGGCACCGCTGAATTTCGTGATGCACAACACAACAGCGAAACACCAGATACACATAAGAGGTGTGGGGGATAATAATCCAATAATTTATTATAAGGTAGTAATTAATCATATGGAAAGTGTGTTTTCTTCCTTTCCTAAGGGTATGGTTTAAGCCCGGGGGCTCCCCTAGTGTTTCCAGCTGTGAATGGGTACTAAATTTCATAGGTGAGGAAACGAAGGCAGTCAAGAGAAGTGCAGTGTCACTTAGAAATCTGACCCCTGGGTCACTTTATATATGGAAAGTGACCCCCGGGTCAGTTTTCTAGGATAGAAATTTGATCCCCCAATTTAGGAAAATATCCGTCCAATTTACATAGATATGTTGTGTAAAATGTATACATTTCAGTGTATTTCCAACCTTAATTTGAAAAATGTGCACATTCCATAGGCAAACTGAAATGTACACATTTCGCAGATAGTTACATACCATGTTATATTGTGATTTGCATATTCTTCATAACTTTTTTAAGTAAAATACATGAATTGTGATTGAGAATTAAAAGAGTCAACATATTCTTGTGGGAAGGGGGGGTTGGGGGATCAGATTTCCACAATAGAAAATTAATTTTTCCATAGGGATCAATATTATCTCTGACAACAGGCCACTGCCTCCTTGTGTATGATTATATCGATCGTTTGAAATCGCTAAATTCGCAGTATTTACGATATTGAAATGAAAAAAATATTCTCATATGTAGTATGTACTACAATTTCGCCATGGAATGCAAAACAAGGGAGAAAAAGATTAAATTTTGTTAAAAACAGTTCTTTTAATCAATTCATCTTAATAAAAAACATGCTTGAAAAACTAATTTCACTGTTCATTAATTCATATTCCATTCTATTGCATGTCAATGGATCGATGAAGGTATGTTCTAAATTATAAACAGATGTTGAATTCACTGTTGTTAAGCGATAATGTATAAGCGAAAGCCTCCTCCGTGTCCACATTTTCACTCCCTCTTGACCTGAGACACAACTCACTCTTACCATCATTTTCACCACAACCCAACTGATAATGTAGCCTTTAAACTGGACGAATCTAACAATAAATGAGTTGTAAAGACGAGAAAAACAGCAAAACACGGAATCCTCCGGAGCTGTTTGGAACCCACGCATCCGGAACGTCTTATCAGCTGTTGTCACATTTTCTAGTGAGGCAACGTAAATGATCCCTATGGTATGACGACATACAGCCTGAGCCAGCGTTATCAGTGGGACTCCGCGCCACGGTGCAAGCAGCTGCCAACCACTGTCAGAACCAGGTTTCCCTTCAGCCGGCTCACAGCTCGCCAGAATTCTTAGCCTACCACGCCCCTTACCCGCCTTGTCTTACTACTAACTTAAGGTAAAACATCTCAGAACCCTCTTAATAGAGTATACATTTATTTAAAACTGCTATAAAAGATACGATGCCATCAGAAGTATCATGGTACAATATAGCGATTAGGGTTGGGTGTAAACAGGACTGCCTAGTATTTATCCCAGGTATGTTCTCATGTTAGGCGTCAGGTAAAAGAAAAGTGGATAAGTGGGTCTCCGGGCCAGGAATACCAACATCTGGTGTAGCGATGAGTAGTCTCAGACCACCCTTGAACTCAGCCAAATACTTCGGGGTAGAGAATACTGGCCTCCCTACAAGGCACTTCCCACCCCCTGTGTTCATCTTTACCCATTAAGACATTCACTTATTTGTACTATACGGCTGAATTAAATTCACGACGTAAACCCTTCCACACTGTCCTGCCTCCTTTATGATATGACACCGATTTATCAGAGGCAGTACTTACTGTATACCCCAGCTCTGGGAGTGGCTTACTGTAATAAACCTCCAACGCCAAATGAAGATAATAACCGAATCACCTCCAACTAATACATTTTGATTCATCCCACGTTCTTAATCAGAAGCTCGCAACGTTTGACAACTTGCCATTAAAGCAGCCCATAACAAGAACAAACCTACTGCATTTGAAACCGAATAAAATCCAAAGGGAAATGAGAGGACAGGACTGGGAGAAGCAAGTTTTTAGTTAAACAAATTTATTGACAAAGCTTGGAGTACAGTTTGCCTATTCTGAGTAATTCAGTCAGGTCTTGACACTGAGGGAGGTATTACTCCTCACTGTCATGCAGAACAGTGGTTCATACACAAAGAAATACATCATATTCATTAACAGTATATATAGGTCAGATTCACGTGGGTGATATGTCACTGTTCATTGCCATGCAGGAGCAAGGATGGGATATGATGGGGAGAGGCGAGGATAGGTTATGGTGGAGAGAGAAGAGGATTAATGGAAGATCGATACGATGCGAGACGAGGATTAATGGAAGATAGGCTATGATAGAGAGGCGTGGATAACGAAGGATAAGAGAGGCTGAGGAGAGGTAGGGGTTAATGGAGGACAATAATGAAAGAGACGACAGTAAAGGATGACAGGTGGGGAAAGTAAATAAAGTTTAGGTGTTCGAAGACAAACAGAATTATGGAGAGGCAACTTGCTGTTGTTGTTATAATGTTATTGCTGGACTTCAACAATTAAAATTTATGAGATAAAGCTCTCTTCTGTAGAGACAGGGAACATGAACAGGTGACAGGCAGAGGGGGGGGGGTGTAGTTCTACTGTATACAGTATTTCAAGGTTTTAATTTAATCTTCAACTCAAATGACAATATAGCATTTATTCATATCATTTATTCTACTAATTCACACTCTAAGATACCTTAACACAAATGATCAGCTATATTTTACGTCTAACAGTAACATACAGAACATAGTTATGCCAAATTTGAATCCTGAACTCAAACGTACAAAATTCTGGGACTCATATTTGATATGCCATTGACTACTAGATACAAAGAAACCCGATATGCGCTTTTTTTCTTTATCTTTTTTTTTACGCACACTGGTATGGTGCCAATGTTGAACTCCTGTTATGACCCTTAACGGTAAAGTTATGTTAAACTGGTGGGGAGTTACACTACCAACATGACCATGGCAGGCCGATGGACGTTATCAGCTTTGTTAACTTATCATGGATCGATAACGATATGAGTCAACCGGTCACATTCCGCGTGGCAACGGTCCGATTTTATGTGCTAACGACTCCTGTTCTACTACCAACGCCTCTGCCCACATTCAAGGTACTCCCGCTTCTTCCGTACAAACAGTAGCCACCCAGTCCCCTGAATCCTACATAATTCCTATTAGCATATTTCTTATAAAAAAAATTAATATTTCTTTACCTCTCTGCGTCGATCCATAGTATTAGAGTATCAATCAATTGTTTGTTGCTCCCTTGAGTTTTAAATGAAAGTAAACGAGTACTGTACCTCCTGCTGATTTTTTTTAAAAGCTGCCATATGTACTAAAGCTATGCTTCTTATCAGACTCGCTTTTCTTGACAGATGTCTTGGAACACGTACGTGGAAGACCTGATAAAGACCCAATCCGTGACAAAGGTCAGCATATGTGGTCAGGATGGCTTACCGTGGGCTAGTTCACAAGACTTCTGCGTGTCTGCACAAGAAGTCAAAACACTCGCCCTCTCCTTCGACAATCCAGCAGACCTCCACATGAAAGGTAAGGAAGAACCACTCACTGCCAAAGCATACCCTAATACTTAAAAGTGACACCGCCAACTATCGAAAATTACTGAGATAAGTACGATATTTTTACATAACTTTCCATTACCCAACTGTGGGTAATTTACCTATAGGTTGGGAACCACTGCAACAAGTACACACCTGAAATTGTTTTCCACAGAATCATTTAAATAATTCTGCTTTATTTAGTTCCTCGAATCAAATTGTTATGATAACCGTTTTGCTGCGGCAGACGCTCGAGCAAGTGTTGCCTAACATTTACGTAATAAAGGCAATTATAGTCAACACTATTACGTCACATACTTAAATATTAATTTCTACAGTAATTCTTAAGAATTTTCATAAATTTTGGCATAGCTGTAGTCATCTGACAAATAAAGTGTTCATACACTAATGCGTACGTGAAAGGTATGATGTTCTAATTCAGAAGTGGTGTAATTTAGACCATATTATGCCTCAAACAGTTTATGTTAAACTATGCTGTCTTTATTCTAACAGAATTATAGTTCTCAGTGTCTACCACGCCAAATATAGTGACAGAATTATTATAGTGAAATTTGAACCTTATAATTATATTCCCATACCAAGGGTCGTCCCTGGGGGGGGGGGGCAATTCAGTCATTGCGGGCACCTTTGCTTTCTTAGAAGCTAATATATTTCTCCATGTGCCAATCTTCGCATATACAGTATGTCTTCTGCAAAGTGTCGATTTTCACCACTTTTTTAAACATAATTTTCTCTGCTTAAAAGTTTCCTTTCTACTAAAATATCAATTGTCCTGGTGTCCAGCCAGTTGGCTGGGGTCACATGCAGTAGATCTCTTCATCGGTATGCCAGTTAGCGACCATAGAACTATCCACTTTAAAGGTCTTAGTATTTACTTAAGTACCTTTACTGTTCTCTTCCTCAGCTTGAACACGACCCACACTCACCATCACAGTTGATCATTTTTTCCCAGTGGTTTCTGTAGTTTTTAAAACAAAAATTTAAGTTAACTTCCATTGACATTTTTATTTCTTCTCTCTTCCTATTCAAATGCCTTTTCTCTGTACCCAAGGTGTATTTCCTTTATCTATCACCACTGGCCATGGTATAATAACAACAATAAAAAAAACAAGACTGCTGTGAACGGAGGTAAAAGAATGTGTATCCACAATTCCGGCAGAGCACAATAAAGAACGACATAGTTCTCAAGTCTTATCTTTGACCTGTCAACAGATGCACCGCCTAACTGTGCTGGTAACTATTCCTGGTAGTGTCGCGGTGGTCGTATTTCATTTGAGCGAAAAACAATACAAAACAAAAACTCACTTGGGCGCGAAAAATCAATTAATTTGGGTGACAATATTTGCTTCATTTATGCGAACTATACACTTCATTTGTGAGAAAATGACCTTGGCTGATAAAGTTTATTTATATCGAAATAAGTAGAAAAAATTCATTAAATATTTCTTTCACGTCACTGAAAAGGCATTCTAAATTACTGAAAGTGGAAAACATAATTAATCCTCTTTGCACGTCGGTCCCAAGTAAAACAATTTAACCTTTGTTTTTACATTAGTTTTACACACTCCTAGACACCTTGACTCTTAAGCAGTACCCATAGATATGGTTTTTTTTTTTTAGGTTTTTTTTGGGTTAAGCAGGTTCTCAGTGAAATTCTGACTTTCATTTTCTAATTATTTTTGAAGGCCTAGCACATATGCCTGAGTTTGCACATTTTTTCACTTACAATCTAAGTTTTTGTAATTCTTTCTCTTTCACTCTGATGGTTATGTTCATTCATAGATTTCACAATTGTTTCTTGTACACCTCCACGCTATATCACTGTTTTTTCAACACTTTATTGGGCCTGAAAGCGAATCCAAAGAATATTAAACGCTTCTTTCTTCTATATTTGTATCTGAAATTTTGCCTTCCATGTTGCTGGTAAAGTTGCTGAACCAACGCTACAGAGGAATGGGTGGCCCCGGTAACATCTTACTAAGATCATGTACAGTCTCGTTCAAGATTCTTCGAACACTGCTGGAGACAGCTGGCAACTCAAGGCCGTTTGTTTACTATAGTACGCAGTATAACATAATATGAAACAACAAAGCCCCACCAGGAAATTAAGCAACGGGGAACTAAGTAACCAATCACTGATCACTTTTACATTTATTCATAATGTTTACTACGTACTATAGTAAACAAACGGCCTTGAGTTGCCAGTTGTCTCCAGCAGTGCTCAAAGAATCTTGAACGAGACTGTACCATTCCCAATTTCCAGGAACCCTATGTAACCAACCATCTATACTGTTTTTGCCAAAATGAAAGATGACCTTTCACTGACTTAGCAATTTCTTGTCGTCCAAATGAAGCAGCATTCTATTGCTGAAATGAAAGGTGGGCAAGATGAGGTCAGCTTAACCTTACCTGTGACCTGACCTGAGTGACCTATCAACAGGTAATGCAGTCACTAATCCTGATGTTGGGTAAAGTAAGGGCAACCATGACTGCAGAACCCCCACAACTTTCACAAGCCCTACCCTAAAGATGGCTTTGCCCATACCCATCAAGTGTGAAAATCAGATTTAGTATAGCTGAATGTGAATGCATTAACTATGATTTAATCTTTAGTACTCAAACAGTGACAGGAATGGTGCACATGATCTCAGCAATGGGGACACATAAGCCTGATATGACACTAAAATGTTCAAATGTGCTTTGCATGCAAAGAAATTAATTTACCATAAATACAGTCAGTCCTCGACTTACTACGGGGTTAGGGACCCAAATGCAGGTCGTAAGTCAAAAATGCAAAAATAATACATAGAAAAGCTAAAATGGGTCTCTCTTTTTCTTCTCAGCACCACAAAACTCTCACTTTTAAGCTTGCCAGCAATTTTAAAGGGGATTACAAACGAAAATTTTGTCAGTACACAGCGCAATCACTAACGTCGGAACTCGAAAATACGTAATTTGAAAAATATTTTATACGACTGTGGCGGTCGTATGTCCGGGTGGTCCTAAGTCGAGGTGTACCTGTATATATACACACTATACAGTATTCCCCGATTTACGATATTTTGCTTGAACGATGGTGATGTATTAAGACCACCCCCCTATTTACGATCAAATATATTTGCATGAACTGTCCGGACAAAATCATTGATGCACGGAATATGGAATGCATCTCTCACTGCACTTGTCAGCTGCAGTTTACCCGCGCACAGCCACGCGACCAAGAAGTGCACTACAGTCCCAAGCTTTGTTCCATTGTATGTAACTGCACATACCTATGATCGTGTAGCTCAATGATTATCGGTCACTATTGGTGTAACTATGAAATAACTTACCTACATGAATCATCGTACTGTATAAACCTAGGCCTAGGTTAACTTTCAAACTGTCATCCCCAACAACTGCCAAATTTTTAAAAACATATGAGTACAGGACTCCTTTTGAGTATGGATTGTGATGATACCTATAGCAGCACATACTGTATAGCTAGCTATGTCACAATTAGTAGCATGGTTAGCTAAGGTTACAACTAGATTACTGTACAGTACAGTATTATACAATATTTTATGGAATTTAGCGGACTGTTAATGTGTAAGATAGTTGGCAAGTGCATACTATATCAAATATATTAATTGCAATTACAGTGATCCCTTGGTTAACGAGCGCCTCGGTTAACGAGATTTCGGTTAACGATTTACCTTCCATAAGATTCTTAACTTCGGTTAACGAGCAATCCCTCGATTAACAAGTTTTTTACGAGCCGACTTCAACATGTTTTCGCTTGCATTTGGCGGTCCACCAGCTGTAGTATTAGTCCGCCAATACAGTAAGCGGTTTTAGGGCTTAAATTCCTTACTATTTTGGTAAATATCAAGAAATTTATACTATTCAATAATTTTAAAAGTTTAATATTAACTTTTTTAGTCATTTTAACAATTATTGAACATAATTGAAGGTAAAGAAACTAGTTTCTGGCGTGCCATCCAGCCTGTTAACACACCAGACAGGCGTTAGTCTCTCTCTGTTTTCAGTGGAGGTAACATCTTTCTTGAGACTCTCTTCAACTAAACGCTTTTTTTTCTGTGTTTCCAAGCAAATTATTGGTCATTTTGAAATTTATTTTACATATTGACAATATATAATGCAGTGCAGTGTTGATTTAAAGAAAATAATCTTGAATGACACCAAGAGAACTAAAATTTTATGGGTGAAATGGTGCCATGGGGTGACTTCTATTCCACCCCAATGCCTTCTCTTCTCCCTTCTCCTCCTCCCCCATTCTAATTCCCATCATCATCATCATCCAGGAGCCTTCTACATACACACCTCAAAGTAAGTGTACTTTTCTACCTTTTTTGTTGAATTTAGGCAATTTTCGGTGAGCTGGAACCAATTACCCAAAAACCCATTGAAACAATGGTTTCAGTAAACGAGTTTTTCGGTTAACGAGCAACCTGCTGGAACGGATTGTGCTCGTTAACCGAGGGACCACTGTATCCATTAACCAAGTTTGGTGTATACCTCAGTGTGTCCGGTGTGACGTCAGCATAATCCCATTGACCTGTGTGTGAACAGACCTTATATTCTATAGACCAGGGTTCCACAACCATCATACTGGCATAACGGCATCCAAAATATGTGATGCGGGGAAGGGTAAATTGAAATGGTAAGATCTGGCTGTTTTAACACTTGACACAGCAAACACCTAATTTGATATTCTTTGTAGGGCTGAGAAGCATTATACCTCATAGCTGACAACACACACACAAGGACTGTACATAAAATGCTTGTAACAATTAGTCAAAATTCACAGCCAGTTATTTTTGAGATTCAGAGTAAGACATTTTTTCTCATATGTTTCAAATCATTTTCCTTTTAAGCAGATGAGGTCAGTCATTGTCAGCCATACCATACAGTTTATTGAGGAATATATTGTTATTGGTGGGGTTAGGCTCCAAGGAACGGTTCAAATAG